TAATTACTATTGTAAAATTTTTAGAGGGTATACGAAAGTAAACAATTCATATTTTTTGAGAATGATAACATAACTTTTTTATAAAAAAAAAAAAAAAAAATGAAAACGAAGGGGGGTGCGGCCACACCTGCTGACGACCACCTGCCTCCGTCACTGCTTTAAACTCAACTGAAATCCCAGAAAGATTTGCCCAGTAGCGGATCTTGGATCACATTGTACTGGGGCCTGCAACATTATTAAAAATAATAACAATTTAATTAATACAAGTAAATAAATCTTCATATCTTAATAATGTTTTATTTATCAATCTCGCATCCCATTGAAATTTGGGAATTATATTTCCAAAGATTTAGAACTGGACGCTTCATTTTAAGATTTTGCAGCAAACAATTTTTTCAACATGGTCATGGCTCAAAAGAATTTTTCTATGGTAGATACAACAACAGACAAAATCGAAACTAATTAACTATTACTAAATTGCAACTATCTTTTTTTTGTTTATTGTGTCTTTGGTGCCCAAAAATCATTATTTCAACTAATTCAAATTCACAACAAAACATTTTATTAGTTAAACTGAATGGATTCATAAGTATCATCGTTACAATTAAGAATAATATTTTACTCTTTCTAATGTTTTGAATAATTTATGACCTAAATTAACATAATTTCACTTTGATTTTTGACTAATATAATCCAACTAACACACGATTAGAAGAAAATAAAATGACAAAAAACCAATATTCAACAAATATAAATCACAAAAGTTAAGGATCAGACTAAAAGCTTAATTTTTAGAAAATTAATGGGCGTATATACTATTGATTTAGGGTGGGACCAGTGAAGCCCCACTAAATCCGCCGGTGTGATTTACCTTTAGTTTCACCAATCCTCATCAATCTTGACATCCAATTAATTCCTACAAATTAACCATGTCTAACAATTCTTCATTTGCAACGCATGCAAATCCTAGTTCATCGAAAATGGATTACATTGAGATGCTAGAAATTTCAACGTAGCTACATCGGTGAATATTTCACAAGATCATCGACTCATCGTATCGTGGAAAGCTATGTCCGATTGCAAAATGCGGCAATCCGGAATGAGGATAAACCAATCTGATTTATATCTCGCTGATTACAATTTTTGTTTCTTTCCCCTAAACTTTAATTTTCCTTTCTTAAGTTTATTCATGTCTTTTGGTTGTTTGTTAAGTGAATCAGATTTTCCCTTGATATTTTCCAAATTCTTTTCCATTATTCTCAATTCTCAAACATTTACTTAAATTTGTACCAAAAATAAACATTTAATTAAATTGATGAATTAAGTAGCTGCATTAACTAGCAATATTTGAAGCCGGAGCTACCTTGTATCCGACCATGTTGACCAAACAATTAAGTTTAATCAATTTGTATCTTAAATACAACAAAAAAAGAAGAAACCATTGATTAATTGTATTTATGTACATATTCAGCTTAATGTCCTTTATTTAATTATTATAACAAATCTCACAAAATGGATTTATGAAACAAGCCAAAGAGAATTAGGGGGATAGGTACTTTCTAAACTTGTTTACTCTTAGCATCAATTAAAGCTTTGAGGAGGAAAAAAAAAACTGTGAAATCATTCATAGTTGAGATTACAAAATACAATGATCTATAATGATTGGTGTTATAAAAGCTGCTACATTACATTTTCATGCATATTACATGATCGGAAACCCAGAAATTGTAATCAAATATGGCGAAACCAGTACGGGTCAACGGTATAAGGAACGGAATTGCTCCTCGTCGTCGGGCCATTTTATCCAATCTTCATATTCTACGTTTTCCGAATATTCAACTACGCCCGGAAAACCACATTCCTCCTCCAAATCAACCTGATGGGTTCCCTCGTTAACCGGCGCTCGGGCTGGATCATTTGTCGTGCCCTCTCCTTCTTCCTCGTTTTCAACATTATTATTTTCATTTTTTTCCGCTTGAAGTATGGCTATCTGTTAAGGCATTATTAACGGTTAATGGAGAAGGAGCGGTTTGGGAATTTCCAAAGATCAACTGGTTGTTATTATCGTCTACTTGAGGAGTTTGAATGCACGCATTGAGTTCTCCCAAAATTTTCTCCAATTGAGCCTCATCAAACTCAGTGACAACTTCAAACGCTGAATCTAAAAACTCCTGAAAGCAAATCATCAACTTCCGGGCTGATCGATGCCTGCAAGGTGTCCGCTTCCTGATGAAAACCAGGAGTTGCAGTTTGGATTTGTTGTGCGGAGATAGGGGTTAAGGTTTCTAACGAAGGGATTGTTGGGGAGTCATGAATGTTTTGAACCTTCAAGAATAAGCTTGTTCCCAAACGGCCAATTATACTTGTTTAGGTGAAAAAAAAAAAAAGAAGATTGTAAGGAAAAATTAGTACATATAAGCTCATGTGATACGTAATTTTTTCAGATATTCATTCTTACAAAATCCTTCTGTAACTGTAAATCAAATACTTGTATAGACGTATTCTTATACTTAAATAAACAAGGGTTTTCTTAGAACAACTACTTAAAGAATAATCTACGTCTTATGAGGCTTTATCCTGTAGACTTGCATGATAATTAATAGTTGAACTATATATATCGAGACTTACATGATAAAATTATTCAAAAACAAGATTGAGCGAAAATTTTGTGAAAAATATTGGGGATAATGGGAAACTTCTTTATTGTGCAACTTTTTGTTATTGATGTTGTAAAACTTAATGTAGCGCAGATGAAAGAAGGCCATTAATAATATAAATGTAATTCATACTTCTTTTTACTATCTTAATTTCTCCATTTATTTCACATATTCAATAACGTGGTTACATAGTTCAGAACATAAACAAAATGATGGCTATGTAACCACTCTTTAATATCGTTGAGCAGCAAATCAATTTGTCGAATAATATAATTGTTAATGATTATTATGGATCTGTCGATGATAAAAACAAAAACCATTTTTTCATATAAATTTAACAGCAAATCTTTATTTGATGCAAAGAGTTTAGTAATACCTATCCCAATGATATTTTCTTGTTTAGGAACTGCCGCCGGAACTTGCAAATCAAGTTCTGAAGGCGTCCAGAGATTTCTTTCCCAATCATTTCTTTCAAGGCTGTTCGTAATCAATTAATTTAATTCCTGAGATTAGTTACTTAAGGGAAATTAAGCTAGATCTGTAAACGAATTTTTTTCCCTTTTCTTTGGGTGAGAATATATCTATAATGTTTAGTCATCAACCTTTTTGGATCGACTACATTGGTAATAGGGTTGCTGCCACTTTGCTGCCTGAAAATGAAAAGGTTGAAAGAACTGATCAGATATTAGTCGATGGCTATTTGCTAATAAATTAGAATAAACCCGGGCGAAAAAAATTCAACATGGAAAAAGAACAAAAAACAATCCAGTTCACATAGATTCACAGAATTTAAGTAAACAAAATGAAAATTGCCGCAAATTTCAACCTTTGCCAATCTTCTTGATTGCTTGATTTCAAGGGATTAGGACCTAACCCAGCGCAAATTTGATGAGCCAGTACAATTCCGTACATCCTACAAAATGATTAAAATCAAATCAGTACAAGTTGTACCTTAATTAAGAACAAAATTTCAGAAGAAATTAAAAAAATTCAATCACATTCACTATACATATGAAATATGGGTACGAAAACTAGAAACTAAGACAAGACTGAGTACACCATCAAAATTATGAGACTAACCAGCTGACTTGTGATTGAACTGCTGGCGGCGGTGGTGGAAGTTGATTTAATGTTGGAGACCGGGTTCCGGCATTCGGTGCTTGTTCATTCCTAGGTAAACAGATGCCAGCAGCGCGAGAGTTAAACCTTGCTCTAGGTTGGTCCATGCCCCTATGCGATCTTTTTCGCCGTATAACCTTACTTTGAGGGCTATTCACCTTGAAACTGTTTTCAGTGGTTTCAAATTTTGGTGAAGAACTGGCATTCGCATGCATTATATTGTTAAAGGAAGTTGTTAATTTATGGGATTTCAGCTTTAAGTTGCTAAAAAAGAAGATGAAGAATATGATGTGTGGTTCTTTGGGAGTATGGGCTATTTGAATGCAAATGTTTGCAGATGGCCGACTCAGATTTTGGTCATTAGAAGCAGTATCGATTAGATTTTGACGGAAGAAAACAGTAAGATTTGATAATGAAGACGCAAAAGGAAGCGGTTATCCCATCTTCATTTTTGACAAGTGTTCAATGAAGTTGTCAACAATGAAATGAAACTGCGAGAAGTATTGGAGAAGAAAAGACGTGTACAAATTTTCTTTTTAGCTTAAACATGTGTTTTTTGCAGCCTAAAAAGTTACAAATTCAGAGGATTTTGAGGAGGTTATGGACAACGTTGGTTGCCCTTTTGCATGATTATTATCTTTGATTCCGTGCCAGTTCGGTTTGTGAAGTTACAAGTGGCATTAAATGTGGTATTCGCCTTATAGGTTTCTCTAACCGAGTGATCTTTAAAACTTTAATGAGTAATGGTAAGAAAAGCGCTGCAAAATGACGTTGATGAACTCTTTAACTTTGTTTCTTGTTTTACTTCATCATACGTACATAGCTTAAAAAGATTTCAATATAGTATATATTACATTATCTTTAGTTTTAATGATGCAAGATCCAAATCTCTAAGACTTTTGATAGGGAGTACAGGTCTAAACACAAAATGAAAATGACTTCATTAAACAAACTAAAGCTATCTATATATTCATTGAAAAAGAAAATACTAACATGGTATTTATATCAAAAGAAATGAGATGTATATAGCTATTGTTCTTTTTCCCCCCTCCCCTGAATCACTTGGCTATATGATTTTGTTTATGTTTAATCATTTATTTAATATACACCATTCTCGATTTAACCTGATCTTTACTTTTGCTTTTATTTGATTGTCAAAGTACAATTGTTGAGTTTGAAGTTGGAGTAAATATGGTTGGCCATGGTCCAACAATTCCATAATTATCACACATCAAACTCAAATCTTTCTGTATTGACCATCGACTGGTGGTCAGGCCAATTAACCAAATCCAAGAATTCATCTTCCTCCAACAATGAATCATCATTGCTCGCAAAAGTGGTCTCCATCTCCAAATGCATCTTGGTTATTCCCTCATTCCCCAACCCAAAAATGTCGTTTGGCTTAGTTGAACAATGGCTTCCTCCAACCTCTTCTTTATGGTTGTTCTCACCATCAACAGCATAATTGGTTCTTTTTCTTGCTGTGTTTTGACAATTTGTTGGGCCATGGCCAGAAGATGAAGAGGGGATAGACAGAGAGATTTTCAGGGCCTCATTGTTATAATCATTTACTCGATCCTCATAAATTATTGCGTTGAGTTCCTCATCGAATTGCACGAGTTGGGCAGGCTCTTTGGCATGTTCGATTTCGGAAAATGGAGCCATCTGATTGATATCGGCATTTAGGTTTCCCCATTGCAGCTGGTGATCAACTTCTTGAGTAATTTCATATATTTCATCATGTGGGTTGACTGATGTAGTTGAGACTACTGGGGTAGTGATCGAGTCAAAGCTCTGAATGCTTTGTTCATGTACAAGTGGATTTATTCCCAAGCTGCTAGCATTACCTTTGTGAAACAATTTGAAAGATATATAGTAAGACTAGTTTTAGCATATTAGTATATATACTTGTATATATAGATAAAGGTCAATCCCATCATCTGGTAGATTTTTCCTGAAAGAGCAATTCTGAGAGTGCTTGGCAAGTTCATTCTGTTTTCTATACTGACAGAAGTTAATTTATTGCTTTGTGGGAACTTATGATACCATATAAAAGAACTCACGAGACATATGAGATGCGATTGTCATCAAATCATACTCCCTCCGTCCCACAAAAATAATCCGCAATGAGTTTTGAGTTTTGTACTATTTTTAGTACAAATTTGAAAAATCAATGTGGGCTATTTTTCTGGGACGGAGGTAGTACATTTTTATTTATCTTATTGATTAACGCTAATAATAGTGAAGAGGCTAGATACATATTTAAGGCTATGATATATATTATTAGATTGCTGCTTGTATATTCTTGTGCAATATATGAGTGTCTATTTTTATTTCATTGTAACAATGAAGGAATTAAATATTAATTAATGATAAAAGTTTAGTGCTAAACCTGTCCCACGAGTAAGTGATTCCAGATTGAAATCTAGCCAATTCCTAGTTTCAAAATCTGGATTTGGTACTGGCTCCGGAACTTGAAAACTCGGCGGTTGTGTGGGCAGTAGTAAATTCCAATCCCAATCAAGTGTTGAAGCTATTGTACTTCCTTGTGGCCTGTTCATATATGTTTCATTTCAAGAGATTAAGACAAGGAAATCATGCTAGATTAATTTCTTCCTTTTTTGTTTGTGCAAACATATTGTATAGCCAGTCTTTGCATATTTATTCTTTAAAGATAATTATTGATTAACCTTGTTGGGTCATTTTGTCTCCCAAAATTAAAAAAGGTTACAAATATGTTCATCATTAAGAAAACATAAGAACCGAATCAATTATATGTGCATTCATAGAAAAATTGTAAATAAAAAAAAAATAATTTTGTTCATTTAATCATCTAACAAACACATAGATAATAATACCATGTAAAAATCCAACTTTCTAAAAAAAGAAGAAATCTACAGATTAGAAAGGAGAAACATTAATTAGGAGAAAAAGAAACAAAGAGCATTCCCAATAGACAAATTAATAAATTCCAACGAGATTCATGAATAAACCTTTGTAAATAAAGTCTCTCGTGGAGGGTTGGGTACCATGGAGCAGCTGGCACAAATCCTTCAGAATAGTACTGATAAGTAAGAACTGGCCCATAATACATCCTACAAATATAAATAATCAATACAAAAAGAAATCCCATCAGAACAAAAATTAATTTCATTGAATTGAGAATCTACAAAACTAAAATTTTATAAATGACAATTTGGGACTTATACAACTAACCAATGTAAAAATGCTGGCGGTGGCGGTGGTGGAATAAGAGGAGTTAACATAGACAAATCTGATGTCCAGTAGGATTCATGAACTGGGCAATTCCTCTGGAAAGGCATAATTGGGCCATCTGCTAGTATTTTCTCAATGCATCTACATTTTTTCGGTTCCAGTTTGCCCCATGATGAATTACTACTAGCTCCAGAATGAACCCTTTCCCTTGTCTGGTATATATCATGCCATGGTGCTCTCGATCTTGCTCGTCGGGAAACTCTACTCTGACGGCTACTTCCTTCTCCACTTGAGGATGATGAGCCCATAGACTTATTGGGCTGCACTGAATTGGTGATCCAGTGTATGTTTTCTGTAGGCAGGTGAATCGGGTTATGGTTATTGGGATTTGGATTTTCCAAAATATTTTCACTGGGGTTTTGTGGGTTCCAACATGTTCTTGATGAACAACTCGAGATGGTATTCATCACTGATGAAGGTAATTAGCAATGGTTGGTAAAATGTTGAAACGACAGTTTAAATGTGGTGGAGCTAAAGGAAGAATTTTTATTCTAGAATTTCAGCTGGTTTGTGAGAGAAGAATAATAAAAGAAGATGATGAAGAGAAAACGGTGGTTTGGTTTGGAAGTATTAATTCTGTTTCGCTTATTTTTTAAATAAGAATTTCGGAGATGACAACTCGGATTTTGAGTTAGCATGGATCGTGGAGAATATAGTGAAAGAAAAAAGCTGGCAAGGTTCGCTAATGGATGAAGAAATAGATTGAGGTGGAAGCGGTGATGATGACCTCATATTCTGTTAGATGACATGGGTGTAGTAAAGTTGAAAAACTACACAGAAAAGTGAGAAATTGAGGATGGAAAACGTATACAACTTCTCTTTCTTTCTTTCTTTCCACTATGTGACTATGTGAGAGCTTTCTGAAACCAATACCAACATATATATATATATATATATATATATATATATATCCTGATGAATCTAAGAAAAGAAATGGCCAATATGATATGTCACCTTTCATAATTTCTACTTAGTTTTGTGTTTTTCTAACTAATGATTTCTTTTATAGCCTTTAATGAGGAATGATAGATATAAAAGTTAATAAATCAAAAAAAGAAAAAACAAGTTGCAAAAGATATGAATGACCCTATTAATTCCTTGATTTCTTGGTTTAATTAATCATTGATATTGAAGATTCAAATAAAATATCATCTTAATTATGTACAAACTGAATGGAGAAACACCCAATTAAATGAAGCTTAATATGCCATAGGAAAAATTCACTACTGCAGCCCCTTGGTTAGAGTCTAGTCTTCAAATGAAAATTAAGCCTATGAATCACTTTGGACGATGTCAGTAGCTCATTTTGGAAGATAACAATGTCATTTCAGTATATATCTTCAAACTATGATTAAGCTTGTTAATTAGATATTTGAAATTTTATGCATCAATTTGTTTTATTTGAAATATGGATAAATTCAAAAGCTTTTTTTAATTGTTGACAATATTGTTAAAACACACTGATTTTGAGTTTAAATACACTCACTCTTTGGTAATCTTATCAAAGAAGAATCATAATCACATCAAATTGTATATTTTTCGATTGTCCTTTCTCCTTACTACCAGATATTCTCATGGTGGATTTGCACCCCAAAAATCAATCTTCATAAGTATGAGAAGTTTAAAAGTTCATATATATATATATATATATATATAGTTCAAATTAATTCAAATTAAGGTAGATCTGAGAACATTAATTTTTATTTTTAATGAAAATATATATGTTCAGTCGTCAAGCTTTGTGGCAGGTGTTGTGATTCCTAGAATTGAAAGATGGTAAGAACTGACTCACTCTTTGGTAATCTTACCAGAGAAGAATGATATTCACATCAAATTGTATGTTTTTCGAATGTCCCTTCTCCTTTACTACCAGATCTTCTCATGGTGGATTTGCACCCCAGAAATCAATCTTCATTAGTATAAGAAGTTTAAAAGTTCATATATATATATATATATATAGTTCAAATTAATTAAAATTAAGGTAGATCTGAGAACATTAATTTTTATTTTAAATAAAAATATATACGTTCAGTTGTCAACCTTTGTGGCAGGTGTTGTGATTCCTAGAATTAAAAGGTGGTAAGAACTGAGATTTATATTGGTCAGTGGGAAAAAATAATTTGGAAAAAGAAATGAATTAAAGGCTATCGGATGTATCACCTAACTTTAGAGGTTTTGTTGGAGCCGTCTAAACCTTGTGAAGTTGAAGAAAAATCTTTACGGGATCTTAGTTGAGTTGAAATGGAAGAAGAAGATGAAGTAGAATATGAGATGAGGTTTTTTGGTAGTCGGCTCTTAGAGTGTGGTATTGATGAGCGTGATATTTGGATTGCATGTTTCTATAACCGATGAATCTTTCTGATGTTAGCAAATAATCATAGAAGAAATGGTGCAAAGACACGAATTTAATTTCATTCACCATAGATCTTTAAATATACAAAGTACAATTATACACCTAATTATCTCAAGTTTCAATTTTGCAAGATCGATCTGAATATCATATTAAGGGTTTTGATACAATACATGCATGTCAAAATGCCTAATAAATATGACTTTGCAAATTCACCATATCTCCAAATTCATTGAGTGAAATGACAAAGTAACAAAGCTAAAAAAAAAAAATTATTAAAAAAAAAATCTTCATTTATAAAAATCCAGCCTTTTTTTGTTTAATAATCATAACATCATATTCCCCCACCCCATGTTGTTTTCAATTATGTAACATTGTTATTGACCTCTCATTTTTTTTCTCTTCTTCTTTCCTTTTTTTCCCTTCTAAGTACAACAATTGAGTTGATTTGGAGTACCAAAAATTAAATTTCAAACCCGAACCGATCAGTATTACCCATCAACTGGTGGTCGGGCCAGTTGATCAAATCCAATAATTCATCTTCCCCCAAGAATGGATCATTTCTCTCAAAATTGGTCTCTATCTACAAATGCATCTTGGTTCTTTCCTCATTTGGTTTGGTTGAACCTTGGCTTCCTCCTACCTCTTCTTCATTCTTGTTCTTCTCAACATCAACCTCAATGGTACTATTTCTTATTGATGTTGCACTTTGGCAATTTGTCAGGCCAGGACCAAAAGAGGAAGAGGGGATCATGGACGGAGAGATTTGAAGATCCTTGTTGTGACAATCTACCTGAACCGGACCATGATAAATGATCGGGTTGAGCTCCTCATCAAATTGAAAGAGCACTTTGGCTGGCTGTTCGACACGCCCCATTTCCAAAAATGAAGTCATTTGGTTGATGCCGCCATCTTGGTTTTCCCATTTACCTTCTTGAGTACTAATTATACTGATTTCATCATCTGACATGACTGATCTTGCGGTTGAAACAATTGGAGAAGTTATCCTGGGAATGCTCTGAATGCTTTGTCCCTGCACCAAGAATATGCTGCTTCCCAAATTTCCAGCAATACCTACGGGAAACAATTTGAAAGAGATATTAAGGATTCATTAAAAAAATGATTAATTAGTAAAAGACCTATACTCATACTTTTCATAGAAAAGGTCATCCTCACCGTCTTCCAAATTTTTCCAAAATCACCCTAGTTTAACATATATCATAGATTTTACATAAAAGAGTCATTTGTTAGCTTTATAGAAACGACTCTATCAAAAACAAGCATACTTAGAAGAGCATTTTGGCATCCTCGGCTTTTTTTCTTTATTTCTATAAGTTAAACTAGAGATTTGTAAGAACGTACAGTACTATGTTACAGTTTACATGTCATCGATCATACAATTATTTTTATCTGCATAATCAATTATGTAAAGTAAACTCGCTACATAATAGTTATGGTTGTAACTAAAAATCATTAGCTTGCTACTTGTAAATTCTTTTGCAAATATGTTAATATCTATTTTTTCTTTAAAGTAAGATATTCTCATTCAATCGAAGTGGCTATGTAAAAAGAGAAATAAATATTAATGATATAAGTTCAGTAAATATACATGTCCCCTGGCTATGCGGTTCTAGATTGAATTGTTGCCAATGGCTTGTTTCACTCTCTTGATTTGCTACTATTTTCGGAACTTGAAAATTAGACAATGCTACAGATGTCGGGGAGCCATTCCACTCAAAATCAAATATTGAAGCAGCGCTGGGTATTTGAGACCTGTTCACAACTTATTTCATTTATATGAAATGGAGTAAAGAAAAATCAAGCTATATTTTTTACCCCTTCTTTTGGTGTAAAAAATGTACAATCAGTCAGTAATGAAATTGGTGTTTCAAAGATATATAATTGATTAACCTTGTTGGGTCATCGTGGAGGACATGGTAGCTTGCACATGATATGTTGTCAGCGGTATGCCTCCTGAAATTTCAAAAGGGGGAAGTTTGTTTTAAAATAATTAGCAAAATATTTGAAAATTTAAAATTTATAGCAATAAATCTTTTAAAAAAATTTCATTTAATTATCTAGCACACATTGAAATGTATTATTTAGTATGTTAGTAAGAAATTAAAGAAAATGTTACCCCCAAGTTAGTTTTATGTCTAAAAATAGTCCAGAACAACATAATAAATATCATATATCAATAAAATTAACAAGGACAAAAACCAATTAGGGAAAAGAACAAAGTCCTCTCCAACTTATAAGCTAGAAAGAAAAAATAAGTCATAGAATACAAACAAATAGAAATCATGGAGATAAATTAATTATTAACCTTTGCCAGTCAAGTCCTTCATTGATAGCTGAGTTCCATAGTGACGGGACCAATTCTCTAAAGCACTGATGAGCAAGAATCGATCCATACTTCCTACAAAACAGAGTCACTAGACAAAAATAATCAGTAGACAAAAAAAAATCAGAACATAGTTTATTTGAAAAAGAAAATTAAACAAACCAATTAAAAAAATCACATTATATTTGGGGCTTCTATGGCAAACTAATGTACAACTTGTGCTCCTGGTGACGGTGGAATTAACTGCACAACTGGTGGCGGCTGTGGTGGTGTCTGCGGCAGTAGAATCGGAGGAGTTGACTATACAACTGGCGGCATTGGTGGCTGTGCTGGAAGAGGATTTGCCAAAGAAAAATTAGATATCATGTTGGATTCATGAATTGGGCAAGTACTCGGGGAAGGCAAAATCAGGTCTTCCATCTGGGTTTTCTCGATGCATCTACATTGATTCAATTCGGTTTGATGATCCCTAGATTAACTACTGCTTCCACCTCCATAATGAATTTGCCTTGTCCGTCGGGACTTTATCGTCCCGATGACTTCCTTCTCTGCTTGACAATGATGAAGCCATAGATCTATTGGCCCGAACTGATTTGGAGATGTTGTATATGTTTTCTATAGGTTTGGGTGTAGGAGATTGATTGTGAATTGGATTATGGTAATCATGTCTTAGTTTTCCCAAAGAATTAATATTTCCTTGGATGGCTGGATTTTCATTATTATTGTTGGCTAAATGAGGGTAGTTCCCATAAATTCTTGATGACGAAGGATTATTAGCCATGGTTGGTAAAACATCGAAACTATTTAGAATCGGTGGAGCTAAAGAAAAATCTTTCTGTGATTTTAGCTTTTTTGTAAGAGTAGAAGAGGAAGATGGTGATGAAGAGATATGGTGGTGGTCGGTTTGATAAAATCGGCTATTGTTATTATTTAAGTATGAATTTGGGGCATAACGACTCAGGTTCGGCTCGATTTTAGAAACTTCGGTGATGATTTGATGAAAGAAACTTGCAAGGTTTGCTAATGATGAAGATGGAGATGCTAATGAACCCATGTTTCTGTTACATGACCTGTGTTCTAGTCAAGTTGACGACTCCAAAAAGAAAGTGGGAAATTGAGGAAGAAACCCGTGCTCAAGTTTTCTTTTTCACTGTATGAATGTGTGAGAGCAAAATTAAGTGTATGAGAAACTTAAAAAAAAACATAAATCGAGATGGAATCAAATGAGGCAAGTGCCCGATATATGTGGTTTGTAATCTTGCATAATTGTTGTTCACTTTTGTGCTAGTTTATCTCATAACTCATCAGTGGTATTGAATGGTGGTTTTCTATAAAAGATCTATGTAACGGATGTATCCTTGTTTTACTTTAACGAGGAATGCTAGGAAAAAGGAGAAATGACCACAATGACCCTTTTTACCTTTGTTTTTACCTTCATTAATCATGGATCATCAAGACTTAGTTAATTACCATATTATCTTCAATATGACCGTTGACAGACCCTTTTTTATCCCGAAGCAAAGACTTTTGATAGAATGGTTAAATGTTTGAATTGTCTATGGAAATTTTTTTTTTTTTAGCTGGTAAAGGAAGCCAATTTCTTACCATGTTAAATGTTTATACTACATCCACATTAACAAGTCACACACTTAACTGAACCTTATTATATACTATTAAAATCTTTGTGCAAATTTGGAATCACTGGTTAGAGAGGTATACGTATCTCATCTTTAATTGAAAAATATTCTTGCAGATCGTCATTTCAGTAGATAACATCACTCCTTGGAAATAACTTCCTAATATAACTGAACTTGGCTATTTTGTATATAAAGAAAATGATGCTCTAGTCCAGCGTTTGTAATTATTGAATTGAAAAATTTTTCATGCTAAGAAACACCAATTGTGTAGTATTCTAGTCATGACTTAACAATTGGGGTGGGTTATCTAACACTTGTTGCCCTTCCAAAGCACTTGCTGCCAAAAAAAGAACTTAATATCATAGACTTTGATGCATTTTTCCGTTCTATCAGAGTTATATACTAAATCAATGTGGTAAAACTAATGTTGCATTAAAATACTCTCATCACTAGAAATAACAGTCTGACAAATATGTATGTAAGCATTTTTTCCATAAAGGAAAAAAGTATAGTTATGTAATCACTTTGATCCCAAACTGATGTAAGTTATATGTAATATACTATAGTTGTATTTACGAAGGTTACCGGTAAGAGTTTAAGAAGTATGTGATAAACATTTGACTGAATTAAACATTTATCAGATGTGTAAAAAGATTATTGTAATGAGATAGAAAAAGTAGTTCTTAGTGGCCATTGCAAATATTATCTGTTGTTTATCAAACAAGACTCACAACATAATTAAAGGCTTAATGAAGAAAACCATAAATTTAATGGGCGCCCCTAAATTTAGAAGGCTAAACAACTTCTATACATGTAAAAAAATTGTCGATAAATAAAGTAACGGACAAAACGGCTACTAAAAGAATGTTCCTATTTAACTACATAAAAGAGAATATTTATCTAATTGCACTTCCGTCCTTAGGTTGAGAACTTGATCATTAGCCATAAGTAATAGAATTGTTGAACCCTTGGTGAAATTCCTTTTGCAACATCTACTTTAAAATGGAGAAAAGTATATTCTTTGATATGACGGAGTAATCAATAGTCATTTTATCTTGTTTATTTTCTCAAATGAACAACCGGTACTTTGTATCATATGTTACAATGAAATAAGAGAAAATATAATTCTTATACTATATAACAGGTTTACCTAGTTTTGTGGGTGGGAATAGTGATTACACGCGCTAAATAGTACAATTATTAGGGTACCTAAAATATTTAAAATTATCTTCTCTATTAAAATAATGTCCTAAATTAATGCTATATCCCCAATCTTAATACATTAAGAAAGGAGAAATTAGGATGAATTGAGACTTCTGGCTTAATCGAAAAAAGCCCCTGGGACATGTGTCGCTTTTTTAATATACCGTAAATACATTCTAATTTATGATATTACACTTTAAGGTAAAAGATATAAGTAATCATGATTTTTGGTTAACTAAATTAGATACAGATTAGATAAAGATTCTATTGTTCAATAATATATGTGATAAGATTACCCGAATTTCGGTGATTGGTTCTTGCCACGGTCACGGACAGAGTATTTGAACAATCTTTCATAGGAAAGCTTTCAATTGAATTCACTGAAATTACGGCATGTCAAATGGGTGTTTGGTAGATGGTCATGGACACCTCCAAAAGAAATAAATATCTACTTAAAACTATTAGCTAGCGGTAAGTAGGGCCTATCCACAGAGACGGCAGTGAACCACTTAAAATCTAATTAATGTGCAAACAAAAGAAATAAACTGAACAGATTGTCACTTGGAAGAGTGAGAACAGACACTTGACAAAGTGAGAAAGCAGAAGGGTCATCACTTCCTATCTGTATGATCAAGTTTTGATTCATTTCAGTTCTTGTTGCACATGACTTATTATTTGATCAGGCACTTATATTCTTTAACTTTCCCTTCCTTACCAGCAAAGAGCCCCAGATTAACCAAATTACCCACCTCTCAGTGATAATTATTCATCATTACAAGCCATTAAGTTCTTAAACCTCATTAATCACCTATGCCAATCAACTAACTCTCTTTGATGATTGAAAACAAAGGGTTGCAGTCAAAGCTGTCTCTTTTGCCTTAGACTAATTGAAGCCATTCTAAAACTATGTTCACCCTCTCAGGATTCCATAATTATGCATGCACAATTAGTTAGTTGATTAGTCTAACTAAAAAGTTAATTAAAACTCTTAAACTAGGAACAATGCTTCATATAAGAAACTGAATCAAAACCTTCACATATAGATAATAGGGATTAGACCCTTAACTGAGTTTAGCTACTCATGGTTTTATACTAAACATGAGAGCAACTGAGTACCAAAGATTAAACATGATAAAGAGCAAAAGGTTAGAGGATAAGAGAGTAGTAGTAGGGCAAATTCTGTCTGCTCACTTGGGGAAGTGTACTTCATCACTTACCTGAGTGACAGTCTGCATTCTAGCTACAGCTACTATTCTATTTCTATCCAACTAACTAACTAATTACTCTGTTTTGATCTGATTCTAACTTCCCTATCTTCTTGTTTCCTAACAGCTATTGGCTGACTATTTATAGAGATTTGGAGAGACTTGAATTAGTTGAGATCTTGGCCTTCTTCTCTGCAGCAGACAGGGGATGTGACAACTTGCAGCAGTTGAAGATTTGTTTATTCAGCAACTTGCCTTCTCTTTGGCTGCTCCTTCTCTTCAGCCGTCACCAGTCACCTTCCTCTCATCAATGCTTTCCCTTCTTAGTCTCCTTCTCTGGCGCCTCTTTACTAATTTCAGCCAAAAACCTCCATTTCTTCATTCTTTAATCCTCAGAAGTAGCATTAGCAGCATGCTTCCTTTCATCATTACATTTATTCCTTTTCAGCCCCCAATTCAGTCTCAATCTACTTCTCTGTTCTTCCTTGTCTCCTGGGATCAATTGCAGCAACATTTCTCTCCTCCTGCAGTAGCCATTCTTTCACTTCAATCAGTAGTAGCAACAAGTGGCAAGTAGCAGAGTTGCAGTCACCTCCCTCTTCATATTCTCCCTCTTTCTCTTCTTCTACTTGAGGTAGAGAGCAACTTGCAGTGATGGTAGTGCACATCCTTCCTTTGGCAGTAAGATTTCGGCCTTGGCTCTCCCTGATTAATAGTAGCAGTAGTAGCAACATCTCAGCAGTAACTGAGAGGCTGCATCTCCTTCTTCCTCTCTTGGATTCCTGCTGCATAATTCAGCAACATGTGATCAAGTTGCAGCCATTTTTACTTTGTCACCAAGGATACCTCCTCTCGTCTAGCTCCAATTGCTCCTTCTAACTCTTGATTTCCAGCAGCTTCCAATCTGGTCCATTTTGATGCTCTTTTGTGCATTTGGCGCTAATTTATGCTGATTTTTCACATTGGCCCTCTGATCACCCTGAAATACAAATATGACCCAAAAGTAAAATAGTTCTAACTATTTGTCCTAATTCTAAGTAAAAATGAGTAGAAAATGCCTCCAAAAAGGGGGTTTAATATAAGTGTGATCAGATTCCCATAAACTTGAATATTTGCTTGTCCTCAAGCAAACGAACTCAGACTCATTCCTACTAACCTAGACACATAGAAGGACTTACCACACAGACTTAGAAGGATGGAATGGAAATGAACATTTTCACAGATAAGTTAAATGACAGTGATCGAAGAAGAATGTGGCTAAATGAACAAGAACAAATGCAACATTGTATAAATGTTAGTCTCAGATTCAGGTCCCTTATTGGACAGATTATACACCATTGTTCATCACAGAAAGATAGCATCACATTTCCTCAGTGTGTATGTGCATATGTCACAGCCAAAGTTCAAGTTTTACCTATAATCCATTCTAAAAATTTACTAATTTCATAACAATATGGATATTATTGTGATCAGTACTTATTTCTTGCATGTTATCAACTAGGGTATTCTCATTGAGATTTTTAGATTCTAAGGACTTCCTCACATAACTGCAGCAACATTGGCTGCATCTTTTTCTCCCTTGTACCTTTACCTCCTTGTCCATTTGGCTTTTCTTCAGGATCTTTTCCACTCAGACCTATACCAAGCACATTTTTTCAGCTCTTTTGATACTCTAAACTTTTTATTTTTCAATTCTCAGGACACTCCTCTCTTTATTTGCCAAGCCTCATCTCTCAGGGGTTTCACTGTCTCATTGGACAGGCTACCTAACTTCCCTGATTTCATATTTTTCTTTTAAACTCAGTTCAACCACCAACACCCCCTTTTTCCCAAGGTTTTAAGGCTTTTACAAACCACCATAGGCTCTTATAGAGTCTGCCATGATGTGAGGGGCTGCCTTAGTCTTCACTCAAAATTACACTCCCCCCAGGTTTTAAACAAGTGAACTCAGTATAAGATCAAAATAATACAATTAAGGCATTCAAATTTAAAAGTTAAGCTCAGAATCT